AACTCGTGCCTAGAGCAGACATTGAAAAACTAGTTTTTAATATACATGTGAATGGGGTGTAATGTGTTTACAAGGATTAAGTGATTTATTAATCAAAGTGATAATTAATCTTGACAGGAAATGAAAAAGACATCACTGCTTCATTCATTATTTATAGAAACAATCTGAAAAGTAATTTTTTCATACTCTTAATTGGATATGTGACACAAAAATTTCTTAATTAATATGAAATACAAATGCCTCATTAAATTATTTAAATTATCTCTATTTTTCAAATAAAAAAGGCTGTTTTCTCAAAATTGATTTTTTATTTACCTTCTTTACTTTTTCTTGTTTTACTTTTAAAATTTGTTTTTAATTAATTGACATTTTTAAGGTAATTTTATTGTATGCTGGTTACCATGAAGTAATAACTTTTCCAAATATCAAATAAAAAGAAGATAGATAGAAATTTCAAAGCGAACCGTTTTATCTCAAGTATGCCAAAGTTTTATTACTATTGAGGTCATTGAAGATACTGATCTGATTTATTTAAACATTGCGAAACTTTGAGGAAATGGAAATGTATTCTTGTAGAGACGCTTTTGGTAACACAATCGAGATTCAATGAATGATATTTTCAAAGATTTTATCAGAAATTATAATATTTGCACGGCGTATAGTCTTCCTTATAATTCCGCAGCCTTTCACTTTTTCACTTCATTCCAAGTCTTCACTACGCCTTTTCCGCACCAGCCCCAAAGCCATCCTCCAAAGATCGGCCCGATTCTCATTCCGTGTTATTATCCAGTCATTTGAAATTCTTTAGAAATCCGTATAATTACAGGAAACTCCCTGCAATCCGAAGGCCTGCAGCAAAGACGTGGATAACGAGAAGAACGTTTGCGGTTCCGACGGCTTGACGTATCCGAATCGGTGCCACTTTGAGAAAGCTCGTTGCGTGAACAAGAATCTAACATTGACAAAAAGGGGCCCTTGCCGCCAACAGAAACCCTGCCGTGACTGGAAAATTTACCGACATGCGAATCCTGACTATAAATTTGAAGCGACATGTCGCCCCGACGGCAGCTACGCCGCTGSCCAGTGCCATCCCGACACCGGCTTCTGCTGGTGCGTCACTCCCCAGGGAGTGCCCCTGCCGTACACCTCCGCGCGCTGGCGTCCCGACGCCAAGCCCCACTGCGGCCGCAAGAAGAAGTCCACCCGGAGACGCTCTCCGCCCCGCAAGGGCCGCAACCGCACCTGCAAGCAGCTGGACAAGGCCAAATTCAACAACAACCTCATCAACATCTTCCACACGGAGTGGAGTCGCGACCACGGGGGCGTCGTCAAGCCGCACAACAACGAGAGCGACCTTCTCGTCAACCAGTGGAAGTTCGGGACGATGGACACCGATCGCAACGGCGTCCTCGACAAGAACGAATACCGGGACTTGAAGCGCGTGGCCAAGAAGGCTGTCAAGCCGAAGAAGTGCGCCAAGATGTTCCCCAAGTCCTGCGATGTCAACAGCGACACCCTCATCACCCAGCAGGAGTGGGCCGAATGCCTCACGAGGGACGGCATGGACGGTAGGTGTAGCTCTAATGGCATTAAGTAGCTTTTCCGGCGAGCAGTGGCCCCGCGTTTCCGCTCGCCCACTCACCCTTTTATTAAGAACTGGCATGCGCGTACCAAATTTTGAACTTAAATAGTTTTTTTGCGTGTTTTTTCGTGGTTGGAAGCAGACGGGGGTGGAATCAACAATTCGGAAGATAACGGAGACGACCAAGAGGACTACGCGGACGCCTTCCCGTCGCACAGGCCCTTGCCGCATGGTGAGTGCTCTCAAGACCAATAAGTTGGAGTTTTCAAAAAAACAAATTACTCTTACAAGTCAAAACTTAAATTCAGTTTTTGGTTTTGACCAGGTCCGTACCTAGAAACAATTTTTAGGTGGGGCGCCCAAAATTTTTAGTGGGGCTAGAACAGTTCTGCAGTTTTGTATAGCAGGTACAATTTTTTTATTATAACTTATGTTACTGAAAAGTTCCAAATTTCAATATAAAAAATCAAAAGAAGCACTTTAATAAAATAAAAAAAAATAATGATAGGATAAAATAATGTAATAGTAATATGCCTATGAATTTGATATACTTACTTAAGTTCATATTATAAGTTGTACAGTTACGGAATTAAAATTTCTTTCAGTATCACTGTCACATCAAAGTTCACTGTAAACTACCTTTTTTTTGTTAATTTGACAATTAACTTTCTGACAATGAGGTTATTAATGTAGAGTTTACATTATGAAAATGACAATACTGCTCAAAATTTTAATTCCGCAACTGTACCTACATTTTTTAGCCTAAATTTTATTCAGTTGTTAAGGGCTAATACAGACTGAACCAAAAGTAACTCCCAAAATTGATATCCTTGTTAGTGGTAGTTTTTCAAAAAAAAAAAAAAAATCAAAAAAACAAGTCGATTTTATTTTTTTAAATGCTATTCAACATTATAGTGACATTTATAACGTCATTCGGTTTTGAGTTGAGTTGAGTTTAAAATGAGAACTGACATTTTTGTTCACTGTTTTAAAACGTATCTTTATCTTTCTGGTAATAAGAAAAAAAAATTAAAAAAAAGAAATTAAAACTCAAAAAAATAGATTTAAAAAAATAAAAGAATATTGCCAATTGAACATAAAAGGCTTTATCTTTTTGTTCTTGCCTTATTTTATAAGAGGCAATTGTTTTTTGTATATTTTTTTGAATACACAATCACCTCTTATAAAATAAAGCAAGAACAATAAAGTAACAACAATAGATAAAACTCTTTGTATAAAACTTTCTATAACTTTTTAAGTTTCTTTATTTTATTTTCTTCTTTTTTGCAGTTTTCTGCTTTATTTTTTTGAGTTTTTTATACTTACCAGAAAGGTAACGATGGGTGTACAGTTGGAGACAAAATACTTTGGTCGTCACTTTTCTGACACTTTAATGTAATTCAAGCTTTAACGTTAAAATGAATGACAATATTAAATTAATGACAGCTATTATATTTTCCTATCAAAAGTATGTACATACAACTTGTCAACTATGATTGACAGTAKCTAAAAATAAGGTTAACAGTCCTAAAGCATGCTTTACAATTTAATGTCACTCAAGTGACATTGACGACCAAAGTATATTGTCTCCAACCGTACCATCTAAAAAAGTAATAAAAAATGTCGGTTGACATTAAAAAAAAATGGCGTCATTACTCGAAAGCGGATYACTATAGTGTCAAAATGTAAAATTTAAAAGAATAAAATCGACCTGATCGAGATTTTTTTTGAAAAATGACTCATAACAAAGATATGAATTTTTATGCGTTGTTATTTCTAAAGAAAGTTGTTAAAAAAGACAAAGTTTCTATTTAAAGTAGGGCTCAGAATATTCAAAATACGGCCCCCTAGCTACAGGCCTGGTTTTGACTTTAGTAGCATCAATTGAAACTCAACTAATGAGAATTTATAGTGCGGAATACCAGATTTCAACTTTATTTAATTATTTGTGACCACAGCACTAAATTGTTGAAGTGCCCGGTATATAAATAAGTGTCATAATTTAGCTACTTTAGAGTATACGCAGAGGCGTTTTGTCGTGTACCGTGGCTTAAAGACTAGTTATGGTTTAATGATTTTTTTCTATTTAAAAACTTACTAGAAATGACATAAATTTGTTACTGTAGGAAATAAGGTACTATGAAAATTCCAATTTATTGAGGATAAACTAACCTGGAGTGTATCTTATTAATTGAAGCTCATTTTGCAGCTTTGACCTACGACGACGACTCGTCGGAAATCCGCGATGAGGACCCCAGCGACTGCCTTTCAGATCGCCAAACGGCCTTGAATGACGGGGGCCAATTTTACGTCCCCGAGTGCACCCCCGACGGCCGATATAAAAAGGTATACATATAAAAACCAAAGCGATAACATTAAACATGTCATAAAAACAACAAATTGATAAGTAATTTTATTGATCTCTTTTCGTGTTATTTATAATTGCAAGACGCCTCCTTTATCTATAATTGAGCAATAAATTCTTGTAATGTACGACACGCTCTTAAATGTGCTTCGTGATGGCCAATATTAATAAATCAGGAAAATTCAGTCGTTATTTCGAACAACTTTTTTAGATTCAGTGTTACAAGGCGGCCGGATATTGCTTCTGCGTGCACGAAGACACCGGAAAGAATATTCCGGGCACGTCGGTGAAAAATGGAAAGCCCAAATGCGACCAACTTTCGAACGGAAACCGACCCATGAAAGGGTGTCCCAACGAGAAAAAGACTATCTTTCTCCGAGATCTCATCCAGTTCCTGCATGTGCGCATGGTGAAGGACAACGATACGGTCAATTTATACAGCTTGCCGTGGATGTCCTCGAAAGAGGAGCAGGCCGCCACTTGGAGTTTCGTCGAGTTTGATAAGAACAAGAACAAAATGCTGGATAGGAACGAGTGGAAGATTTTCAAAGAGGTCGTTGCAAAAGAGAAGAATTTGAGGAAGTGTGGCAAGAAGTTGCCTAGGTACTGTGATATTAATAAGGATCGACATATAAGTATGACGGAGTGGCTCGACTGTCTCAATGTACAGCAGGGTAATAAAGCGACGAAATTAATTTTAGAGCACGATTTCAGTAATGCTTCATGTTTTTCAGGAGCCACCACAAGCGCCCCCAGCTCATCCAGAGCCGGCAAAAAGAACCCATTGGATGTACTAATAGAAGATTAGTGATTTTTGTGAATTGTTAAAGACTGGAACCCCCAGCAAATTCAGACTGGCGAAAGCCTCAACTTTTGTGATTATAGTGTAGTGTATAGCTTTCATCTTATCGTAATAAATGCATCGTGCTTATTTATTTTTCAGGTGTATCTAAAATACAGCCAATGTTATTCAAACTTTGGTTGCTTGAATCAAAATTAAAATCCTCTTGGATGCTTGTTGATGTATTTTTAGAATAATTAAAAACCATCTTGTTATTGTCTGATTATTTAATAAAAATAAAGAGTGAATAAAAAAACAATTATCACAAGCTATTTTACATAATATCATTTTAAATAAAAAAACATGCAAAACAACAAATCATGCAGTCCACTTGAGACACCTTGTGTCCATGTGAGTCTCCATGCACTTAATACTACAATATCTCATCCCACACGCAACACACGAATAGTGTCCAAAAAACCCACAAACGGCGCAAAAATGCCTCGGTGGCAAGTTTGACTCCTCCGCGGCTATGTCTATGTATGACACCCGACCCGCTATGTCGGCCTCTATCCTGTCTTCATCCACCAGTTGTTGGAAGTTCTTTCGAAACTTTGTTTGGTAATATTCCGCCGTTCGTTCTCTTTTCTTTGTCCGAGTCGACCTCTGTTCTAAATTGTCCTCGAATTTTGGTACTTTRTTGCTCATTACTAAGTCGGCATGAGGATCATCTTGATAATTGTCTGATTCCAAGAGCTCCATTACTTTTCTGTGGCGCCGCCTCCGCTGGGTCTCGTCTATCACTCGGCGTTTATCACCTTCTTTAATGCGGTTTGAACCGCGTAACTGGGATTTAAACTGTTTCATCATTGTAAAAAGTTATAAGAATTATTAAATCTTAATTTTGTAAAAGAGTAGTTTGGTTTTGAGGTTAAGAACTTCGCACATGCGTTGCCAACGCGAATCCACTAGGCGCGAAATAGCCAAACAGCGAATGTCACAAGAAATAATTAGTGAAAACAAAAAATTGACCACGAGCACAAATAAGTAGACGGTTTTTGTTAAATAATTTCTTCAGGAGTTGTGGGTTGAATTTTAAAGATATCTTAAAAATGATTAAAACAATATCGCTTTTGGTTATGACAAATTGAGCACAAATTGGCAATAGACAACAAAATCACTTGTGGTCTTTATTTAAAATTTATTAAGTATCAGAAAATAGTTTTCTTACAACAATGTTGAGTGTTAGCGAACAGATAACACCCGACAACACACAAAACTCTCTTTGCAGGTTCCTGTAATTTTATACTTGGAAAATTGGAAGCAATAGTATGTAATGCAATCTCCTTTTTTCCCTTTCTTTTGATTTCCTTCGACTAGCTTAGCAAAAAACAAAGTATAATAAGTACCGTGCCATCATAAATTAGATGAGTGGGTTGTGATTAAAGTCCTTCAGATGGCAACTCTGATTTTTGACTTCAAATGTCAGCGGAAACTTTGATAAGTTTGGGGCTTATTCATTTTGAGTGAAATAATATTAGCTTTAGAGCAGAAAATTTTTATTGTTGCAAGTTATTACAAAAATGCTGTACAAGACGAAAATGGTGAATGATTATTTCCACTTCCAGTTTCGTGTGGAAAATTTCCAGCAAAAATTGTTGCCAACTGTAGAATATTAATCGTCGCCTACTCTGTTTTATTTATTTTTTGATCGCACGGTATGTGAATCTCTTGCAATTCACCTTTTTAATTTAACGATTTGGGTAAAAATAATAATCAACTCTTGCATCTCAATAAAAAATGTAAAATCCAATTTAAATAAAATTGTCTAATCTTCTAAATTACTTTTATCTTTGCTACTTATTGTTATCACTCAATTTCCAGATTGCACTAATTCATACCACAAAATGTTCCTACCGATAATAGTCGCCCTATTTCTTCTCCTAACTACCTTATACATCTACAGTAAAAAACCGAATCCACCAAAAATATTCAACGTATATTCACAACCGGGCAAATGGTTTTACATAAAATTTGCGGCTTTCTACCTCCTCCTATGGACAAGACGACTCAAAACTGTATTACGTAAAGGAACTCCCGACCATGAATTAGAAAAACTGAAACCGTTATCCGACCATGAAAAGGTAAAAATGGTATAAACCCACTTGAACATTACATTCAATTTTCAGGCATTTGATGCAACATTTTTTCAAGCCGTTTCCCAAAATGGTTTCTATTTTTGCGGTGGCATCGAACGACGACATCAAGCTAAAGCCAATGGATTATTCTACATAGCGGTAAAATAATCAGAGCTTTGATTAAAATTATTACAGCCAATTGACAGGTACCGGAATTGGGACTACTAGAAAGTGAGAAATTACCAAGTACTTTGCTCGAATCTGARCCGGGGTCAGTTTTACTACTTAAAGAATACAGCGCAGAGGGGATTTCATTCYCGCCCGTGGAGCCAATGAAAAASTGGCATGTGGRTTTCAAGGGAAAAATGAGGTGACCATTATTTCAAAATGAGCAAAAATGGCTCAAAAGTTTATTTTAGAATCCAAAAAGAACCCCAGAAATTTGTTAGCGTTGATCTGAACGGAGACTGGACTTCAAATTTGCCTTACTTTCTTTTTGAGACTGATATAAATCTCAAATGTATGGCAAAAGCTATAGCTAGGGAGACCTGGAATAAGGAGCGATTTGAAGCCTTAAAATCGTAAAGCCCCACTTACTGATTACAACCAGACGTTTATTATTACGTTTCAGTGCCCACCAAACCCACTACGAGCAAATGGGTTATTTTAACGGGACCCTGAAAGTTGGGAATAAGACATATACATTAAAAATGGATGCTTTTCGAGACCATAGTTTCGGTATGTTTACTAATTTTTTTTCGTGTGATAATTTCTTCCCTAGGTTACAAAAGAGACTGGACTTTGATACATCGATACGCTTTTCACATGTTGTACTTAAAAAATGGCACYAGAGTSTCTCTTGGTGTGGTAAGTCAACCTTGCACAACGTCGCTCTTGGAAATGGGTTACGTAGTCTTACCTGACAAGTCAATCCATAGTATCGATTCCTGCGACTTACTTCTATACCAACATGGTGAAAATGGCACTCCAGGGACGAATTACGCTTTCTCGTTTACTGCAAATAATGAGACTTACGATGCGAGAATTAAAGTAATTTATGAATCGGTCCATTTTAAAGGCAACAATATTGAAGCACGACTGATTGAACGATTTATCGAGTGCGAAGTGAATGGAATACCGGGAAAAGGTGTCTCTGAATGGCAATACAACAATATGAAAAACCTTCATAAAATATAAAAAAATATTCTTATTTAAACTCACAAAAATAAAATTCGGAAAATATAAACTAATTTTGGTAGGGACTTCCAATATAACTTCCTCTCTCCATGCAGTAGTTGATAACAGAACGCCAACTCCTGTCCACAGAAAGCAATTTCGGATTTCCGATAATAATTAATAAAGCTTTGGCACGGGTTATCGCAACATTGAGTCGGCGAGGACTGGCCACAAAACCCATGCTATATTTAAGATCAGAAGCGACATGGTTTTTGTTTGAGCGCACTGTAGACAGGATAATTACGTTAAATTCTTGTCCTTGAAATTCTTCCACTGTGCCGATTTTCGGAAGATCAAAATCAGCTTCTTTGAACAGTTCCATCAACTGTTTTATCTGTCAAAAAATAACAATTAATTTTATTTTTTTCTACTAGCATTTGCGTACCTGTGCTTTATACGGAGTTATGACACCGATATCGTTCGACTTCAACCCTAATCTAAACAGTTCGTTGACGTAGAAAAACACCTGCGACGCCTCACTGGGGTTAAACCATGAGGGCGAATCTTCCGTTTGAAAATTTTCCCCAATCACGACGTGGAAAATTAACGACGCAGTTTTCCCATTCCTATCGCGGGGTAAGATTTCTTCCAATTGTGCTAAAATTGATGTTTCTTTGCTGTCCACTTCTGAAATCTATTATTTCATAAGTCATAATGAGTTGCACAATAATTTTTGTACCAACCGTTGGTATTAAATCATCATTATAAAACAAAAGACTGGGTAATTTAAGAATATTGGGTAGGGAACGGTAATTGTAGATCAATTTGGTAATCATCCGTGGATCGTAACCGAACGTCTTGGGGAAACCTTGTGAATCTTTCATGTAAGGAAAGCGAGAGATCATTCGTTCCAAAAATGACTCCTCAAGACCATATTCGGAAGCAAGATGCGACAAAACCACAGGCCCCAATTGCATCGGATCACCTGTAAAAATCACATAGTTCACAGGACTAGTGCTTTTGTAAGACAAATACCAGCTAAAATAGCTTGACCACTTGTAACATCTAAAAATGCCAAAGGTATCAAAACACTTGGTTCAGATGTTTGGCCCGCTTCATCGACAATAATGTGYGAAAAATGTCCTTTCGAGAAACCCATGGAATATAATAAACCGGCACTTGAACAAGTGCTGATAGTGAGTCGGTGTCTTCCTAATACTGTAGAGCTACAACCTAACACTAGCCCATTTGGGCCAACCAGCGGAAGAGAAGTCTCTGTTCCTTCCTTTTCTGTGTTAGCCGTAGCAGTGTATGGGGCTAACCTAGGCGGAATCGAACTAATTGCAGTCACTGCAATCATCCTGATCAAATCTCCYGGTTTCAAAACACCTGAATCGATCAAACGCAATGCCAGCAAATCAGCAGCACTGTTCGAAGGGGCACATAGTAGAATCCTCGAATGGGGCATCATCCTCAAAATTTGCAAGACTGTCTCSACTACAGTGACAGTTTTACCGGTGCCAGGAGGCCCAAAAATAATATAAGGTAGTGGTCGACAGARCCCTAGCAGAATATTCCTTACTGCTTCRTTCTGGTAGTAATTGAGGGAATTATTGTGCCATTCCAATTTACGCAATGGAAGTGGCTTTTCGGTACTKTCARTGAATTTTCGAATCTTCTCCAAAAGCTGTTTCTTCGCCAATATATTATGCGATGGTTTAGAATCAGGAGAGTCTAAACTACTCYATTCGTTATTTAGTGAGTCAACGTAGCTGTCAAAAGAAAAATCCACTTGGGGCTCCTTCTCGGGGATTCMCGTCGGAAATAACCAATCCTTMCCCAAATTCCTCACAGCCAAATTTACAGCAAAATGCTTRCGTCTGTATGTAACTCTGGAAGCCTTTATATAAACGGAGTAGTCCTCTCCATCGTACGAGTTGTGAAACATTTGCGAAAACTTTATAAAAACGTGATTCTTCCCAATCTTGTGGATGTAACCCTCGAAATCCGGACTATTCGGGTCTTTAATACTCCTCGCAATAACTCTATCGCCTAGTATTACAGACGGCCTCCTCTCGGCCAAATTATCAATTTGCAGAAGCAAATATTCCCCGCTCTTCACGAAACAAACCCTCTCCTGGTCATAATTCTGCATTTCTAACATCCSKTGGACTTCATCCAAATGAAGCAAAGTGTGAAACTTGTCCTCAAAGTTCATGTAGTTTAGCGTCGTTACGAGGCACGGTTTCATTCGTTCAAGCTCGGATTTCAAGTAATTTGATTGGTGTCGATTCGCTGCTATTAAATTGAGGAGCCGTTCAGGAACGGCAAAGTCTGGCATTTGGAAGGGTAGAAAACGCACAGCTGTGCGTATTTTTTGGCCTCTGATCAGCTCCTTTTTGTCCCTTGAGACGACCTGTCTTCTAACGTCGTTGCTTTTTCTGATATTTTTCGGCTTGTAGGAGGCCACGTTAATGGTGATCCAGCGCTTTATTTTGAATGTGTCGAAGTGGAAAATTAGGAGTTCCTGACTTTCGCCGATATTTTTAGCTTTACACTCTACCCGAACTGTTAAAGGTCGATCAGGTTTGAGGGTGAAGTGGTCAATATTGGTGTTAAGGCGACACTGACCGTTCACTTTAGGGATTTCAATGCAGACCAACTGGACCTCCTCTCGGGATTCTACTTCCACCGCAAATAACTTACTTTCGCCCAATTTAGTGAAAGTTAGGCTGATATTATCTGTAATACTAACACTGTCATGGGTTTCCTGACAATTTTCTTCTTTTGTTATAATCGTGTCTTTATTTTCCTTGAACTGTAAGTTATCTGGGAGAACTTTTAATGCCCGCCAGGAGCAAGTCCCTTGATTGCTTTCGATTATTTCGGCGACGACTTTATCACCCCTAACGGGAATGTAACCGCAATAAAGCGAATCTTTATCGAAAAAAATATTTTTTTCAATGACTCCCGACCTACTTTCGGAATTCCATTGAGTCACATGTCCGAGCTTGACTTGAGGTCTCAACGGCAGCAATTTATTAATCTCGATAATTTTTCCATTCAAATCAACAACGTTTTCGTCAATTTCACACTTTACATCCAATTCAACCCAGTCACCCTCTATTGGAATGAATTCAGTGCAAATATTGTTTAAATTCACAATAATCTCTCCTGGCGTTAAAGTAAGCACCCGATTTACCCTTTTCTTAACGTTACATATTAAAACACGCTCATGGCATGATTTTTTTCCAGTATCTATCACGTTCCAGTCATTTTCCAATACATTAACGTCAACAATCTTAATTTCAACCTCAGTAGATTTAATTAACTGGTACGAAACCTTTGTCCCCACTAAGAGATTCTCTAAATCACTTTTAAAATCGTATAAATCATCTATTCTAAATGAATCGTCAACAATGTGAGTGATCTTGCCTACTTTACTGAAGACTTCATAGGTGCCAATCTCTTCTTCCTCTTTTTTTTCATTTTGGGGTACTTGGTTTGGGAGTTTTTCTTCACATTCCGTAATTACCTTGTAAGCTTCATCTAAGGCAAGTGGGGCTTCACAAGGAATTGTTGTTTTCCAGAAAAATGATAAAAGATTCTTCAACAAGGACATGATACACTTCGAGGTTATGTACGAATGTGAAGAGTTTTTTTTACTGTAACACTAATATGACATTGGGAAATAAAACAAATTTAACTTCTCGGCACCACAACTTAACACTTTAGCTCATTTTATGAAATGTAAATAAGTAAAAACTTAAATTCTTCTTTGTTTGGGAAAAAAATCAACCGGCCCGGCTCAAGGTCGAGGCGGTTACATGTTGCATTCGCTTGTTCATCTGGTCGAATTGTAACATTAATGTAATGTTAATTAATTAGTAAAAGAAATTCATTATTATTTACAGCCATGTGTGCACTTTGCAAGTGCATAATTTTATAGAAATGTGGTGTTCGATTCTACTTTAAATATAAACTTTTTTAATCTGGCAACTGYACTCTCGACGACTGTTCTTAAAACCGAAAAACTTCTAGTGTGCACAACTGCACAATCGTTTTTTTTTTAGAACAAGTATTAAACTAAAGACCTAATGTGATAGCCTGTTGTCTTTTCTAGTAATATCTAATCACAAAAACGCTAAAACTGTAACAAAATATCTATTAAAAAGTACTTATAAGGTATTCCCCCAATAAGTTTGGCGGCAAATTTAATAACAAACACAAAATCACATTTGAATACGAAACAGTCTTTCACATTAAATTCTTTTTGTTTGATCAACTGGTAGAGGGTTTACACTTAAATTTAATATTTCGCTTGTGAACGGAATAAAATTTTACCCCCAGTTTGCACGGGTTACGAAAGTTTTTGTTAAGCTCATAACACGCTTTTGGCACTGTCAATCAAGATTTGGGAGTAGCGGGACGGGACTATAAGTTTGGAGAACCCGTCTTGCTGATTGGGTGATATAAAGAAATTTTTATAAAGGTACATTTATTGTTTATTTGCAACTGTGTCCACAATTTACGGAAATAATTTTTGTAACAAAAATTGTCCAAATACAATGACTAAGTCTCAACACTACATTAATATGTACATCAAATTAGCTATTGTCACGATCTGTAGACACAGAATTTTGTGCAATCTATCGCAAAATAAAGCATAATTATGTTAATAGTTTGAGCACTGAACACAAAAAATAGCCCATTATAATTATTGTGAAATAAAATGATATAAAAATATCCTCGTTATTTAAATCAAATTTACACAACCTGAAAATTTCCTATGTAATATAAAAAGGGGAAAATGCCGTGGGCGAATATGTAAAAAATGAGACTAGAGTACTATATCCGCATTTTTAATGTTGTGTCATAACATAATATAATATAAAATAATAGTTGGATCGAATATGTACATATAAACTTAAAAACTAATAAATAAAATAATCACAATAAGAAAAAATAAAAACGAACAATCACAAAAACAGTGATGAATTTAAAGAAACGTATTGCACCAGGTAAAAGCAAAAAGTTTGACCTGTCTGTACAGTCTAGAATTACAATAAACTATACATTAGAGCCGAACAGGCTAAATATGTACATCTACACATTGTCACTAAATCTACTGTGAAAATGTTCAGACGTCGTTAGAAACTTGAGCCAAATCGAAGTTGTAAAAATTTTCTTCAAAATATTTCTTCGTTTAGAAATGATAATACTTATAACATAAACTCTAAAACACTAAATTATAAAATCACGAATTCATGGCAGATATGCTTACAATAACTCTGAATGTTTTCGTAAATATGTCTAAAAACATTCGTAAATTTTTCTACTTAACACCGTTTTACATATTGTAAGCGACATAAATGGGGTCGAGTTGGTCAGCTAAGAAGCCGTCGCGCAGATGCATGCGCTGRTTTTCTCCGCGCGAATTGATGGGAACCACGCCGGGGTCCACCACCACTACTACACCTACGATCAAGTGGTGTTCTTCCAGTACGGTGTTTGTCACAAGAGGAACCAAGTCCAGAGCCTCGCTCTCGTTGCCGTCCAACTCCACGACGACCACCAGCAAGTTGGTCCAAGTGAATACGGCGCTGGAACAACAGAAACAATATTTCCTAACTCGGTTGTAATATACTATTTTATATCAAGAGCGTTTTTATGTCGTTTAAGTTTAAATAAAAACTACGGATACCTAAAGACTAGGATACGACACGATGTAAAACAAAACGTCCCCGTTCTCGATAGTTCCGTTAGCGAAGCCAGATAGCGCAGTTGCTCCTTTCCCGTTTAAGTTTTAAGAGCAATGAAATAAAAAAAATGGCTGTTTTTACATAATGGTGAACAAAACGAAAATAAAAAAAATATAGACAGATAGAGCATTTAATTCTTAATAAAAAGAGATAAAAGGCAATGTAAAAATTTTATTGAAAACTATATTTAAAAAAATTCAAACATTTAGCAATTTGCGCCTCGTCTCATGTTTTTGAAAATGCTGCGAATACTGTTAAAGATACAAGAAAAATATAAAAAAGAAAGTTGTAGAGAATAAAATTTCCAAGAAAAAAGTCCGCGGATGATGCCTCTATCTTCAATGGTTTAGATGCTAAAGGCGTTCAAAGACGCTCAAGGGACGAAATTGGGTCATTTTTACCGGTGGTCAAGAGACAGAAAATTAATTTAAATCTAAACGGTGGAAGATAGAAATATCGAAAACAGTATTAAAAATAAATTATAAACAATTATCAGTTTGCGTTCCGCCCAATATTTTTAAGAACGCTGCGAATATGATTAAAGATACAAAAAAGTGTAAGAAACAAAATTGTAGAGAATAAAATTTCTATCTTCAACGGTTTAGGTTTAAATTGCTTTAAAATGTTTCTCTGGCACTGAATCACCAGTAAAAATGCAACGAATCCGTCGCTTGAGCAGTTTTGAAAGTCTTTGAGGCCTAAACCATTAAAGATAGAGGTATGGTGTCCGGACTTTTTACTACAACATTCTATTTTCTACAATTTTTTTTCTTACATTTTTCTTGTATCTTTAACCATATTCACAGCATTTTGAAAAACATGAAGCGGAGCACAGATTTTTTTCTTATATTTCTCGTGAAAAATTTAATCGTTTGTTTTTCACAGCTTATTAAGAATTTAAATCTCAACAGTTCTGCATTTTTTTCTAATTAGTAAAGTGGTTGAATTTAAATTAATTAAAAACGATTTAAAACTGAGACGGTAAAACGCTCTAAGCGCCCTCATTTTTACTCCGCCGTACTACTTTTTTTGGGTCCAGAAAATCGAGCAATCTTGTATCTCGTTTCGTCTCCTAGTATGTAGTTCTCCGTAATAAAAACAAAACAGGAAATGGTTAGTTTTTTGTAAAATACTCACCATTCGGAGATTTTCTTGTGACATCTGAGCACACTATTCTCAATGTCGATTGGATGATATCTCATCCCTCTGAGCATAATTGTTTCATCTAAAGCCCCTACGACAAATACAGCATCGTGTAATTCCGGAGAATCCGATGTGACTAGGTGTTGGGATGACCCGAGCGATTCTGTGTCACTCTCTCTGCCCAAAATCGTTTCTTCGCTAGGACACGCAGCTTGAGTGCCTTCAGTACGTCGCAAAAATCCCAAATAACCCGTCCTGGCGTACACCTCGCCGGTGTTTCCCGTAACCAACCTGGCATTGAAATGGTCTCCATATTCGCTCTCGTCTCCATAAATTGTGAAATATCCACTGGCACTATGCCCGCTTTGGACCCAAATCTCGCCCAGATGGGAGTCCCCACATTGACCTTTACTTTCCGGATTCGCGATAATCACTTTAACTCCGGGTAGCAGTTTCCCGCTCTCCATCAGACAGAGACTATGCGGACTGCCTCGTTCGACTAAACTGACCCTGTCGTTACGCAAAGCTCTGAGATCGACGTAGACAGTGGAGGGTTCGGGACTGGAAGCCCCCTGCAGGCAGATCGCCACGTTGACTCGACACCCGAATGATGTGGAAACGGCTCGGGGGCTCAGTCCTAGAGCGCTGAATAATTTCGAGAAACTGGTCGTGAGGTTGATCCGGGGCCGCTCTTCGGCGACGACGACACATGTTCGGACACAGGCGAGATTCACGCCGCGGGATTTCAATTGGTTGACTGAGGACCCCAASCCCTTTGTGCACAGTTCCATTACGCCATAGGAACAAAAAGTGTCACGGACTTTGTATTGACTCACGGCGGAAAGCCACAGAGCGGGGTTTACCTCCACCTCAGATGGCGGAATTAGGATGGAGTGGTGGCCGGAGTATATGCTACTTAAGCACCTGAAAACAGCAGATATTCCAATTTTCTGTGAATGTGATGACGTTTAATTTAATTACTAGGGAAGTTTTTCGTCTGGTGGGGTAAATAAAATTCCCTTAATAAACGTTACGACCTTAATTTTAGAGTCTTATTTACCCCCCCTCGTTCATTAAACAGATGAGAAAACTTCAACAAAGTTGCAAGTGAAATGAATTATTTAGTTTAGCACAAACGTAATGAGGAATAAGCAACTGGTTGCAGTCTCGTTATGAGACCTATTGAGGTAAACTTTCGCAATTAGTCTTTGTTTTTGCTAAAAGAATGTTTACTCAACACTTTTATAAAAGAAGTTAAGTTAAAAAAATATTTTTCAAACTTAAGAAAGGCTGATTAAACTCAAACATATGATTTTTTTATTGAATATCAGAAAGAGTAAGATTTAATACTTTTCTTACAATTTTTTCCTTGATTAAAAACATTGGAAGTTGAAAATACGTCTCAGTGGCAAAAAAGAAAAATATATTGAGTGATTTATGAAAGAAATACTTTAAAGTTTTGCACCTAAACCAAAGTTATAATTAAAATTTTTCTGTTGTTTGGTGCTGAGTTTTCAAACTAAATTATACTCGTTTTATATTGCAGACAAGGTAAAATGAGCTAAAATCCACTAGTTTCTACCTAACAACTAGACATGCAGAGTGATTTATTTAAATTCTAGATAACAGGTCAATTAATTAATTCCAACGATAACAAACACAAAGGGATTACTGATAATAGTTCCGGCGTTATTTGCCGAAAAAATCCACCAAAATTTTGCTAAAAACAAAAAAATTGAAAACTTCAAAACACTTCTAGACATTTAAAAGCACATAAAACGTTATAGAAACGCAAAAAATACGTTTTTGAGATATTTTTGGATGAATATTTGAGACAAGAGCACACTGTCGGAGACGTGGTGGCGCAATGGGTTRGAATTCCGATTAAAGCAACATGGCATGTAAAATACAT